ATTGCTGTAAGAACAGACAGAAGGACCAATGGAACTGAATAGATCTGGATATTAATCCACACACCTTTGAACGTGATAAAGAAGCAAAAAATATCAAATGGAAAAAAGAAAGCATATTTAACAAGCAGTGCTGGCATAACTGGGTAGATATCAACATGTAGAAGAATGAAAATAGACCCATATCTATCACCATGTACAAAACTCAAATCCAAATGAATCAAAGATGTCAACATAAAGTCAGCCACACTGAACCTTATAGAAGAGAAAGTGGGAAGTACACTTGAACTCATTGGCACTGGAGCCCACTTCCTAAATATAACCCCAGCAGCACAGACACTGAGAGAAACAATTAATAAATGGGACCTCCTGAAACTAAAAAGCTTCTGTAAAGCAAAGGGCACTGTCAATAAGACAAAATGACAGCCTATAGAATGGGAAAAGATCTTCGCTAACTCCACATCAGACGGGGGCTGATCTCCAAAATATACAAAGAACTCAAGAAATTGGTCATCAATAGAATAAATAATCCAATAGAAAAATGAGGTACAGACCTAAACAGAGAACTCTCAATGGAGAAATCTAAAATGGCTAAAAGACACTTAAGGAAATGCTCAGCATCCTTAGCCATCAGAGAAATGTAAATCAAAACAATTCTGAGATTTCATCTTACACCTGTAAGAATGGCCAAGATCAAAAACACTGATGACAACTTATGCTGGAGAGGTTGTGGGGAAAGGGAACACTTCTGCATTGCTGATGGAAATGCAAGCTGGTACAGCCCCTTTGGATGTCAGTGTGGTGATTTCTCAGAAAATTAGGAAACAACCTTCCTCAAGACCCAGTAATACCACTTTGGGTATATCTCCAAAGGATGCTCAATTGTGCCACAAGGACATGTGCTCAACTATGTTCATAGTAGCTTTGTTTGTCATAGCCAGAACCTGGAAACAACATAAATACCTTCGACTGAAAGATGAATAAGGAAAATGTGGTACATTTATACAATGAGTACTATACATAGAAAAAAATAACAATGGCTTGAATTTTGCAGGAAAATAGATGGAGCTAGAAAACATTATTTTGAGAGAGGTAACCCAGACCCAGAAAGACAATTATCACATGTACTTACTCATAAGTGGTTTTTAAACATAAGAAAACCAGCCTACAAATCACAATCCCAGAGAACTCAGACAACAATGAGGACACTAAGAGAGACTTACATAGATATAATCTACATGGGAAGTAGAAAAAGACAAGATCTCCTGAGTAAATTGGGAGCATGGAGACCTTGGGGGGGGAGAGTTGAAAGGGAAGGGGAGAAGCAGGGAGGAGAGCAGAGAAAAATATAGAGCTCAATAAAAATCAATTAAAAAAAAGAGTTCCAGGACAGGCTCCAAAGCCACATAGAAACCGTGTCTCAAACAAACAAACAAACAAACAAATAAATCTCCTTTTTAATGTATGAATAATAAGGTATGCTTACAGAATATATATGGCAACTGGAATAGAGGGAAATGTGTTTTTGGACTGTATGCTGTCTACTAAGCAATAAATCCTGCTTATGACACTAAACAAATCACTTACACACCCTTGGTCTTAGTTTGCCCACTATTAAGCAATTATCTAACACAGTTTTTCAAGCATTCTTTACTCTGGTAGTTTAGTTATGGTGGTATTATAAATTATCTCCATGGCTGCAAAGGCAGAACTAAGTGTACCATTTAGTTACATATTTACACATTTTGTACACATGAAAATTTTAATTTGGGGAATTATAATAACACATTCAAGAATCTTGAGATATCTAGATTGAAGCTCTCAACTTATTAGACAAATATTCTGCATTAACAGCTGCATCCATCATAAAGTAGCTTTCCTTAAACTGTAGACTAAACATTGACAGCTTATTTTTGCTTGATTCAGAATTTCCTTTCACCTGTAGAACAAAATAGAAAATACAAGTATAGAGATGCCAGATACAAATGGGCAAACCAATGTATGTCCTTATTTTAGGCACAAAAGATCTATTCTTCTTGCTTAAAATGTATAGAAACAATATCAATTACTCCCAAGAAGATAAAAGTAATACAATAAACCCCACAGACTTTCAGCATTGTTTATTGCACCATTTGTAAGCACTCTACAGTAGACTTTACACCAACTGGTTCTTAAGGTATGAAACATCTACCAACAGCTTTGCCATCATTTGGGAATTTGTTAAGAAATGCTAATATTCAATCTTCCTCAGACATACTGAATCAGAAATTCTAGGTGTGAACCTAAGTAATCTGCATTTGGGCAAGATCTGGTAATCTTGAAACTTGTTAGGATTTAAGAACCCACTGTTCTAACCATTAGTTTACAACTGTTGCTTCTTGAGACAGTTCCCTAAATTTGCAGGCAATCAGTAAAACAGGTAGACAAGAGCATCAGTCTTAACTGTTTTGTTACAGTAAATATATATATACATATATATAAATAACATATACCCCTTGTTTTGTTAGCACATCTTATATTAAAAATTATAAAACCCATGGATTTGCTACTTGTTTTGTAGAAGTAGAAAAAAAATCCCCTTCTTTCTATTTTCTAAAGTTCTGATAATTGAATTTATGAAATAGGCTAACAGTAGACAGGCCAATAGAAAAGGTGGGCAAATGTATGGAATGCTTCCTAGGCAGCAAAGAAGTATCAAAATGCCCAGGAACATCAATATGTTTATAGGTCCTCTTCACAGAGGAGAGACGAGAGATGACGTGGACAACTTAGGGACAGTAAATTATTTTTTAAAATGATAAGTAGACTTTCAGAAGAATAAATGAAATCCTGTGACAAAGCTTAGTTGACACCTAGGCATGGTGTCAATCTTCAGTCTCCTTTGCTGTGACAGTCACTCTTCCCGGCTGGTGAGGTTCCCTGGGAGAAGACTGCTGACAACTGTGTGTTCCTTTTGTCAGAGAGTCTATCTTTAGGCAGGTAATGCAACTTCAGAGAAAGTCTGTGCCCCTGCTGCTTCCGGAGAGAAAAAACAAGGAAGGATAGGAGGGCAGGAGGGCAGAAGGTCAGGGAAGTCTCAGATCCAAGGCAGCTTCTGAAACCTTCCAATCAGTGAGTCAGTATGACAATACATTGTACTCTGGGGTAGCCTTCTGTAAGTCTCAGGTTTGTCTGTTGTATACTCATTAATTCATTTTGTTTGCTGCTAATTCTTGATACTACCTAGAAATAATACTATATTCAAGTCTCAGGTTACATTCTCATCTCAAAAGAAAACTTCTTTTTAGAGAGCTAAAAACATAAAAGAACAAATTGGTACAAAGTTTCTATACTATCAATCTGTTTAGGATTGTAAAAGGAAGGCCTACAAAGCATTTAAACAATCATTCTGGCATGGCTGATTCTTTCTGGTGTTCTGAAGACCTTAACTCAAGTTTGGTTGTACCAACAAAAAAGTCATGCTTGAGGAAAATATGCATACATAATCACATTGCTAAGACGGCCGAGAGTGATTTAGCACAGTCATTCACAGGTCACAGCTACTCTGCTTCATGACCAGAATAACAGCTACATTAGATCAGTAATATAATGAATATGGTGCTAAGGAGATTAGGCTCCCCTGACAGTCATTCTGACTTGTGAATCTAGAAAAGGAAAAGCCTCTGAGGGGGCTAGCAGTATAGCTGAGGGGTAGAAGGTTTGCCTAGCTTGTGTGAGAATCTGTGTTGGAACCTTCACTCGAGGGAGTGGAGAAAAAAGAGGAAGGGAAGGAGGGTAAAAAAAAGAGATGAGAAGAAGGGTGAAGAAAAAAAAGAAGAGTATTGAGGGGGCACTTAGGAAAAGCAGTAGAGAATTCAGCATTTGTTTTATGCTATAACACAAAGTGCACCTCAATATGGGACAAAGAACCTATGCAGTGCTATCCAAAGATTTTTTTTGTTGCTTTGGGAAACAAAGAAACTGATTTCTAATACAAAACTATTACTGACTTAACAAAGAACAGTCTAAGAATAAAATCCTCAAGGTTTTTCAATATTCAAAACGGATTCATAAAGTCAAACATACTTTACTTATCTGAGTATTGCCCAAGTTTTCTTCTACTGTTTTACATAAACTTGTCCTAGCTGGCCTCAAAGATCTAGAACCCTGACATTTCAAATCAGACGTTGATACCTCTTTAGAAGTAGAATCATTCTGTCCTCTCACTCCAAGTGGAGGAAATATGTACTCTTTACTTTTTTCCACAGTGATTTAACATTAATTTTAAAGAGCAGGAATAAACAAAAGACCTAAAAACAAGTATCTCAAGGTTCTTTACTACTGTTCTGATCTGTATTTTCAGCTAGAGCTGCGAATGTTTCTGACACATTTCTATAGACTCACTTTAGGGAGAGTGTAAAGGGTGTTGCCAGGCAACTCACTGAAGTCTGAAAGAATTTAAGCACTGATAATGAGTCTGTCTCAGTTTGGCTCCCAAACAAGAAGGGTTTTAGTGAAGCCCACATGTGTTTGCAGACCATTCACAGGAAGAGGTTATCTATAAAGTGAGTGTCCAAAACCAGTCAAACTCGGGCATCTAATTCAAGTTTAACGTTTCTAACATCTAAAGTGTTTCTGCAGCTATCCAGAATTCCAGCAGCAATTAGGCACATGTCAGGCTTAAAAGGTACAGTACTAAATGAACAGTTTATACTTATCTTTAACATCCCATCAGTACATGGCCAAAATAACATCTTCAATTATTTCAAATCACAAAAATAATCCTGAAATTTCCATTTGCCAAAATTATTTTGCAATCTATCCTTGAAACTGTTCTTAATACTTACTCTTACCAATAACAAAACAAGATGTACAGTAAAAACCTATGCTCTTTTAGGAGAATAGATGCTAAGACACAAGAAATAACATGGTTTTATGAGAAGTATACATGCGAAGCACTGCTCTGCTCGGTGGGTCTGGCGCAAATCTCCCTTTTCCAAAGCAGACACTGCATGCATGCTTACCAGGGCAGTATGCATCCACGTCCAGTTTCTGAGCTGAAGTGAGAGTTGGGGAGCCAAGCTCGGATTCTGGAATTCGTGGGCTCTCAACAAACTTTGCCTTCCTCAGGGGGGCTAAGGATAAAAAGAGAAAGGAGGAAAGAGAGGAAAGTAGAATAGAAGAGAGGTGAGAAAAAGGAAAGAGGAACAGAGGGAAAAGGAAAGGGAAAGAGAGAAACACAGAGGGGTTATGAGTAAGGGGAGCAGCAGGCAACAGATGGAAGCACTTAAATGAACGACACACTCTGTCAGACTCAGATCAGGTTACCCTAGGTTTTGAGCCAGAAAAAAAAAAATTAACTGCATTCCTAATACAGGAGATGGGTCGTGTTTAAAAGTCACTGAAAAGGGGAAAAGCTAAAGTCTAATATCCAAAACTTTGAGCTAATTGTTTACTACTTTTGGTTATTTCCTCTCTTTATAAATAAAATAATTTTCTTATCTTTGCTTTCTGTGTCATAAAATACAAAAATATTAAAGGAAAGCACTGAAAGAAATTATAGGGTTTAATTACAACTACAATAAGAAAGTTTAATTTATCCAGAAAGAACTACTCTGATACCCAGCCATGATAAGTACTAAAAACGTGATTAAATATTGACGTAGTTTAATAAGAAAATCAATTAGTTAACTGCTCAGCCATTAATATAAGACGTCAACAATGCTAGGATACTAAAATACAAAGTAGGTCATGCCAATTTGACACTGATGCTAAAGAAACATGTCTTAGTTACATATTTAATCATGAAACTTATAGAATAGGAATATTCCACACCACAAAAATAATTCAGTATTATATTAGTATATTCATAAACTTGAAGTTGTACTTACTGAAAATTCATATTCAAATTCTTTGTGACAGGGTCTTATTATATAGCCCACACTTAGCCCTGAAATCAGGATCCCAATAGCTTGGATTACAGGTGTGTATCACTTTACTCAACTGGGCATATAAATGTTATTTAGTAACTTTTGTGTATGTGTGGGTGTGTGGAGGATTAAATGCATTATTGATTTACGTTCAAATGCTCAGTGAAGCATCTTTTAAAAAATCAGTTTAGTATCTTAAAAGTAATAATTATATGAACTACTTTGATATTTTTCAAATTGAATTAAATTACATTCCAATAAGATAAAGTTGTTTAGCACAGCACTAGTAAGGATCAATTGGATGTAGAATTTACACGAATACATTACTAGCCACATAGCTACAGGTTTCTTAAGATGCGTGAATGTGTAGACTCACATCACTTTTCTTCAACAGTTTCTTCATGTACTTCAAAACCCTTATCTATTACTGATCCCCCAAGGGATCCAAAGTTAATCCTAAAAGATGCTATAAAAAAGTTGCTGTAAAAAGTCCTGGTCATCAGGCTGGAGAAATGACTTAGCAGTTAAGAGCATTGACTGCTCTTCCAGAGGACCCGGGTTCAGTTCCCAGCACCCACATGGCAGCTCACAACTGTCTGAAAACCCAGTTCCAGGGGATCTGATACCTTCACAGCAATGTACATAAAATAAAAAAAAATTAAAAATTAAAAAAAAGTCCTGGTCATTAAAATGACTAAAATTCTCCTTTATTATTTTTGAAGGCCCCAAACTATCAATTATGAAGGAATGAAAGATGCTTTTTAAATGTCAAAACTTACAGACAACAAAATCACAATTTAAATCTTAGTGTATGTACATAAACTAGAATTATATGCTAAAAACACAACATATAGCCTGTCATTGTCTCCATGGGAATATAAGTCAGACACTAACAGTGTTAATAGTATGGTTCTTAACCAAAAGTAAGTTTTGGAAAAGCAAAATTCTCTCCTATGCTATGAGTGCAATATTTAAGCCTGCTTTTTTTTAAATCATTGTCAGAAATGAAGATCTTGCAAGTTATATACATGTGATTAGTAAGAAACACCCAAATCTCATTATATCCCCACCAACTGATTAAAAAATAACATTTGATTTAATATTTCTTTATAAAGAAAAATTAGTATGTGCATATGTACATATGTGGGTGGGTGTGCCTGTGTAAGTGGCACAGGCCAGAAAAGGGCACTGGATCTGTTTCTTTAGGGTTAGAGGCATTTGTGGGACGATACTTATTACATTAATGCCTGGTTCTCATGGTTACAGAAGAAACTCCTATCTATTGAGCCATCTCTTCAGTCGATAATTTTATTCTTCAAGCTCTTCAGTCCTTCTTTAAGATTTTATTAATTCACAGTCCTAGCCTTAGAATAATTATTATACCTGCTGAGTTCTGACAAAGACAGTACTAGTCCCTCATTACAGGACTTATATATATATAAAGTCTGGGAATATGTTTTTGAGTAATGGACAGGAGCCAGCACTTTGGGTAAAGAGGTAAGAAAAGAATTGAGAACAACAGGAGAACTTGAGGAGGAATGAAGCATGTCTGAGAATTACGAGATGGAGTCAAGGGGAAAGACCCTGGTCCTAGAGAATACAGAAAACGCAAAGAGCTGAAGACTACAAAAGTGATGTGGTCAATGGTATAAGCCAGAATTTGCATTGGTTGTGGAAGAGAAAAAAAATGAAACCTATTTCTAAAATACATACTTTTACAGCAAGCAGAGTTATCAGATCTGTGGAGCTCAATGTCATTCTGACTTGTTTTCCCTTCTCAGGGAATTGAAATTGAGGCTATCTTTAAAGTTCACAATGGATATATCATTTGTTTTTCTTTGTACTTTATTCAGTAGATATTTAATTAATTCTACTATCTACCTTCATCATTACTTCAATTCATTTGTCTAATAAGGGGGTTAAATTATTGATTTGATTGCATCAAGGTCTCATTCTGTAGCTCTGGCTGGCCTAGAACTCACCATTTGGATTAAGCTGACCTTAAACTTGCAGTGATCCTTCTGCCTCTGTCATCAGAGCTCTGGGATGGCAGGTGTGTGATACAGGTGAGTGGCTAAAGTATTATATAAGATAATGGTGATCAGATCCAAGTAATTAATATCTACTGTTATCTGTAAGCCAGCAAAACAAAGTATGCATAATCACAAAAAAGACAGGATAGGATGCTCAACAGTCATAACACCGCCATATAAAGGACAAAAAACCGACAAGTCAAAGATAGTGCATGATATTGTCCTTGAAAGTCTGCAATTACATAGATGTCTTTGCAAAAAAGAAAAAAACGCAATGTAACATCATTATAATTCATAAGAGGGCTGTACATCAAAAATGTTTACTTGATCAAAAACAAAACAAGTGAAAACTGATTTGATTGAATAGGATTGGATAGGTAAAAATAAAAAGTCAAAACAGGTATTTTGTTGTGATGTAAGAGATAACAGGAAACAGTTATCTAAGAAGTAATTTGAGGCAACACTGGGAACTTGATCTTATGTTAGTAAGAAATCTAAGTCTAAGGATGTAGATTGAAGAAAATACTTATGGATTTAAGGAATATAATCATTTGAAAGGTATAGGTCATACTTCTAGCAAAAAATATTTAGCATGGTGCTAAATATGATAACACCTCACCTACAATTTATTGAGACATGGGATTGTGACAGCTACGGTTATGGAAAATAAACAAGATATCAAGAGACAGCATGCAGAGGCAGAATAACACAGTAGTAGAATAATGAAAAGATGGACGGTGAAGGATTCGAAACCAGAAGCTTAAACCAGATTTCCACCCTCTGCTTTTCCTAGCACTAAAATCTTTGTATACACAATGCCCTTCAGTCATTCTGAGTTCACAACAGTACCTACCACCTGGATGAGTTGCCAAGATTACATTAACTGAATGAGTATAAAGTAAGAATAACACACTTCTAAAGCATTTTCAGAAAATTAAGGAAGAAGTTGGGACAGGAACAATTGACCTATAAAAACAGGCTATTTCTAGTATATGTGGCTAAAATGACAGTGCAGAGGAAATGAATATTGATACCACACTACGCAACTTAAAAGTCTTGCCAAACAAATGTTCAAGTAAAAATGGTTTTCCATTCCTTTGTCACATTTTTGTTGTACTGTGGATCAAACCCAGAGCACTTTCACCACTGAACTACAGCCCTAGACCTTAAAGTTTAAAAACTAATATTTTCCACCATTAAATCTATTAATAGCTTTCTTACAGAATTTATACAAATTTCTAAATCATACTCTGAGATTATTTGGTACTCCAAAGCAGAATGGAATGTAAGAAAACAATTATTTTTTTTAAAAAATTTCAACTCGAAGATAGAAGCAGAAAGAGCAAGAGTTTCAGGCCATCCTTGCTACATAATAAAAGTGAGGGCTAGCCTGGGCTTTGTAAGACTTTGCATCAAATATGAAAAGAAAAGGATATTTCAGTAGTAGAAAAATACTTCAGCTACAAATTTTGTTTTAGGAAGAATAGTAGAAGTGTGTAGATCAGTGGTAGAATATTTCCCTAATAAGAAAGAAGCCATGGGTTTGAGCCCTAACATTACAAGTCAAACAAGCAAACCAAAGGCCAGCAGGAAGGAATTAATTCTGTATGGAACTTACACATAGCTTCTTTCTTAGTGATATGAAACTTCTTTTAGAGCCTGATTCTAATTGCAGATATATAGCTCTAAAAATGACTTCTGCTTTCAAAAAGCGAGGCAACAAATATATGACAACTAAGACTTAGATAAGTACTTTATATATTATCTACATTTACCTAAATCCACTTGACCTTCATAAATTTCTTTCATTAAGAACACTGGTGAGGGAGAATTGTCTGTATTCTGTCAATCATGTTTTAAAAAATGCTGATTGGCCAGGCAGGAGGTGTAGGTGGGAAAACCAGACAGGAAGTGGAAATGATGCAAGGAGAGCAGGAGAATTCTGGGGAGGAGGAAGTTGATTCCTTGCACTCCTGCCCAGACCACTGAAGCAGCAGGTTGTGAGCTGCTCCACTGAAAAAGGTACTGAGCCACATGGCTAACATAGATCAGAAAAATGGGTTAATCAAGATGCGAGAGTTAGCCAGTAAGAAGCCTGACCTAACGGGCCAATCAGCTTTATAACTTATAGAGATCTCTTGTGCGATTTTACTTTGGGACTAAACAGCTGGG